GCAAGAGCAGGAGGACCGTCACCTTTGCGTCGCCCTCGTTGGACGGCGAGCGAACTGGCATGAGGTACTGGAAATCTTCGTTAGCCCAAGGGATGGTAGACCACTGGTACACATAGATCTCCACCAACCCATTGTTGACCTCCTCGAACTTGTCGATGTCGCCAAAGGTAACAGGAGAGTCTTCCGGGAGCATGCTGAAGTCGATCACGTGCCCATCCACTTGAACCCCAGGCCGAGGTGCAGAAGTTGACCGGCAACGTGCAGTATGGCAAGATGGTGCAGAATCAGGAGAGGTTCCGGAACACCATGGTCTACACGGATCCGGTGAAGTTCCAGAAGAAGGCTGCTGGTCCCGCTATGCTGGACGTGCACCCGCAGATTACCGAAGACCGCGCCTTCCTCGCCTTCCTGGACGTGGCTAGAACTGGCCGCAGCGCTGTCTTGAAGTCTTTCCTTCAGGGAGGCTGGAAGGTTCTGGAAGAGTCCCGGCTGCTCATGATGAAGGCGCACTACAAGGCGCGTCGCGTCTTCGACGGTCATCTCATGAAGAGCGTGGACCCTGTTCTAGGACCCCAAGGTGACTTTGGCGGATAGCAACTTGCTGGGCGGCTCTCCCTTCTTCGACGTGGCTGGCGATGCTAAAGGATCCGATCTGGCACGGCATCTGGCGCCGCTGAAGCAGGCTAGCCGAGACCTGGCCTTGCGCGAAGCTGGCGCTCTAGGCAACTTTTCGGACGAGCTGGCTCCTCACTATGGCGACGAGTGGGTCGGCTTGGCTCCCAAGATGTATTCGCTGAAGAAGAGCTGCGATGAGTCGAAGGAGCGAGCCAAGGGCGTGCCGAAGAAGGAGCGGAAGAAGCTCAACCACGAGAAGTTCAAGGAGATCCTCGAGGTTGGTGGCGAGCACAGGGTCAGCTTCTGCCGCTTGGGCTCAACTGGTCACGTCAACACCGTGGTCAATGTGGAGAAGCGTGGTCTCACGGCCTTGAATTCGAAGGTTTGGCAGCTGAACTCTCGCCAGTCGAGACCCTTGGGCCATTTCAAGAACAACGCCGTGTGGGCTGCTTGCTGGGAGGCTTTGCTGCGGTCTAGCTGCGGCTCCGATTCTGGCGCCTTTCACCTCATGAACCACGTGCTGTCCTTCCTCAGCGGCGAGCAAAACTTCCTGCACCGCGAGGTCTCCAACGGCAAGTTCAAGGGGCGGCTTTTCAACACTAGCTACCTCAAGGCTTGAGGAGAGTCGTGTGCTTGCTAACTAGTTTAAGCGTACTAGCGTAGAGGGTTTGCGCTACTATAGCTGGTTGGGGTTACACAACGCTCCTCCAAGCTTTGGTGCTGCTTCTTGACGGCTTTTTCCCACGTGCAGCTAGGGATCGTGCTGTCGGTACAGTTTTGCTTTGTACAGCTTACAGAAACCAGCGTGGACAGTCAGCTGGGAAAGACTTCGACCAGCCGCTGCGGCTGACGCAAAAATCAAGGAGGAGCGATGGGACCTGGAACAGGTAGCCTGCGAGCTTGAGCTGCTTGTCTTCCACGTTGCTCTCTTGACTGCATGGGGAAGTTGCGCCTTTGTTCTTCAGCGTCCACCTTTCTGAGGTCACGACGCACCAGTTTGCCGCCTGCCCAGCCTTCGAGCGTGAAGTAGGGTCCACCGTCTGAGTGCTCGATTCTGGAGACCATGTAAGCCCTTGCGCTCCAAGCGATCTCGGTCACCCTGTAGGATCCCCTGCCCTCTATAGGTTTAACCCTCACCCTAACCGCATCTCCAACAGCAATCTGAGGTCTAGCGCCTGCGCCCCTCTTGACATTCCTTTTCATGCGTGCTAAGGCTCTGTCTGCCATCTCTGGGTCCTCGTACGCGACGTTGGGAGCTAATCCCGTGGTTGAGTGCGGTCTTGCATTGTACTGAGCTAGGACGTCAGGAAGTAGAAGATGCCATTGATTTCTCCTGCCGACTCCTGCTGTGAGTCTTCGCACTAAGGCTTCTTTTAGGGTACGGATAGCACGTTCAGCCACGGTAGCATGACCTCTGCTGACCACTTTATCCACGTCAAAGTAATCCAGCTTTTCCTTGAACTCCCGCTTGAACTCTGATCCGTCATCACTGTAAACGTTGAGCGGTATGCCGAGGTCCTGGACCACTTTGTCCCAAGCCTGAGCCGCTGTGGAGGCCTCTTTGTTAGTCATGGGAACCGCCGTTAGCTTTTTGCTGAAAGCGTCAATTGCCACCAACATGTACTTGTAGGGCCCTTGCGCAAAAGCCGTCATGTCAGCTAAGTCTACTTGCAGCTGGAACATGGGTTCTGGAGGAACAAAGCTGTTGTAGCCTCTTTCAGGACGGTCTTGTCTGACGATCAGAGAGTTTAGGTATTGCCTCACCTCGCTTCTAGTGATGTTAGGATCCCTAGCCCTGGCTTGCCTGAAAGTTTCCTCCAAGTTCCCAAGCCTGTTCGAGGATTCTCGTAGACTTGTTTGATGATTTCTCGTCTTGCTTCTGCCATTTCCTTTTTGCCGTTACGCCTAGCGCGCTGTGCGACCAGGTGGAGATGGAGCAAGTGATCGTGCTGGCAATTTGCCAGAGAAGTGACAAGAGAGCAAAGCTGAAAATCCACTGCGCCCCCTCCTGATCGCGCTCTTAAAAAATTTGGCTCCGGATCGCATTGCCGCCAGCCGCGCCGCCAGTGCACCGCTAGCTGCGCCGCAAGCCGCGGTTGTCTTTTTTTTTTGGCTTCGGGTTGAGA